TGTTTGCGGCCTGCCAGTAAACCCAAAGCAGAAGAAGAAGAAGTGACGTCAGCGGCTTCATTTGCCTAATCCTCCCCCAGGGACTTATTCCGGTGTGAACGCGATCTGTACTTAGTTCATCAGAACTAAAGAGTTCTGATGAACTAAGTACAGATGAACTAAAGTGGGAAAAGTACTGCAGTGTGAACGCGCCAACTGATGCTAAACCCTGATACATCACACACTGATGCTAAACCCTGATACACACACAGTGATGCTAAACCCGTATATATACAGAGATGGGAAGTAGTGGATTACAAATTATTCGTTACTGTACTTAAGTACATGTTTCTGGTATCAGTACTTTACTCCACTACTTATTTTTCTGACGACTTTTTACTTTGACTTCTCACATTTTTAACACAAATACCTGTACTTTCTACTTCTTACATTTTGAACACAAATACCTGTACTTTCTACTTCTTACATGTTGAACACAAATACCTGTACTTTCTACTTCTTACATGTTGAACACAAATACCTGTACTTTCTACTTCTTACATGTTGAACACAAATACCTGTACTTTCTACTTCTTACATGTTGAACACAAATACCTGTACTTTCTACTTCTTACATTTTCCAAACAGGCTGGTTACTTTAGTTTGAATGTGTGTTTGGTGCTAGTTATGGGTACTTTTTACTGAAAGGGGACCTATCATGCAAAATGCACTTTTGTACGTCTTTTATACATGAATATGTGTCCCCGGTGTTCCAGGGAACTCACCAAGTGTCAGAAAACACAACCCTCTCTATTTTCCAAATCTCTAAAAAAGGGGCTGCAACGGATCTGATAAAAACTGATCCAGATTTGAACACTGTCCTGACGTCAGGACAGTGGCGCTACGGCTATTGGGCCAACTCCACCAATCAGGAGGAGACAGCCACGGCCATTGCCGTTCGAAAGCGCTGGAGACGCTGTAGTACATATGCCAGGCCAGTAGATGGTGCTGTTCTCACAGAATCAGCCCTTGCAAAAACAGAGCTAGAAATTGTCAAATTGAGCAAAATGAGGCATGGCTAAAATGCATGATCTGTTTGGTATTTTGAAAAAAAAAAGTATAAATATGCCGTATGGTCCTACACTATATTATTCAAATATAGCATGATAGGTCCACTTTAAGTACATTTCAAAGCCCATACTTCTTTACTTTTACTTGAGTAAAGAAGTACTTTTACCAGAGTATTTTTAAACACGAGTATCTGTACTTCTACTTGAGTAAAGGATGTGTGTACTACACACACTGATTCTAAACCCTGATAGATATGCAGTAGTGTCGTCGGAGATGTGACACACGGCTCAGCTGCTGCCACTTTATTCTGAATTGTTGGCGAGGTTACACGTCCAGGGGGGGGGAGATTAAATGGATTTAACACTAATGTTTCCACAGAGCATTTGGTTACTGTTTCCTGTGGCTCTTCCGCTCATCAGAGAAACAACCCCCGCTCTACCAGTCTTTATGAAGCTCATTTCAGACGCCTTTTATTTAATGTAGATATATTTAAAACAGCCTAAAGACACTCACTATCTCATAGCTCATCCCTCTCACACATTGTTGTTTTTTCAGAAACATTGGATCCTAAAATGTCTTCTTCTAGTGTGAATTTTCCTAAATTGAAAATGTTTTCAGTTGCAAAATAAGTAAGTAGAAAGCTCAAAAGTGTGGGTGCCAAATACAATTAGACTTGTATTGCAGAATCCATGTCAAACATCATTTATCTGTTGAATTTTGTATTAATAATGTAGATTGTATTCTAATTTAAAGGGGACCTATCATGCAAAATGCACTTTTGTACGTCTGTTATACATGAATATGTGTCCCCGGTGTTCCAGGGAACTCACCAAGTGTCAGAAAACACAACCCTCTCTATTTTCCTCCATACCCAAATCTCTAAAAAAGGGGCTGCAACGGATCTGATAAAAACTGATCCAGATTTGAACACTGTCCTGACGTCAGGACGGTGGCGCTACGGCTATTGGGCCAACTCCACCAATCAGGAGGAGACAGCCACGGCCATTGCCGTTCGAAAGCGCTGGAGACGCTGTAGTACATATGCCAGGCCTGTAGGTGGTGCTGTTCTCACAGAATCAGCTCTTGCAAAAACAGAGCTAAAAAATGTCAAATTGAGCAAAATGAGGCATGATCTGTTTGGTATTTTGAAAAAAAAAAGTATAAATATGCCTTATATAGGTATGGTCCTACACTATATTATTCAAATATAGCATGATAGGTCCACTTTAAGCTTTCAAAAGGATTCTGCTGCATAAAATGGAAAGAGCTCACTTGATAATTTGACTGTAACACCCATATTTCATATAAATACAACCCAAATACACTCTATTACACCATTATTACAATGTTTACACTGTTATTACATTAATATCACACTGTTGTTACACCCACGTTACACATTAATACACCCTAGTACACCCTAACATTGGTAATCCTGCTATATTCCACT